TCAGATCCTACCAAGCTAAAGCTAAGAAAAGTTTATCTATCTTTTCTTTTTCTTTTCTTCCCTTTAACTATTTCCCATCTTATTATTAATGTAAATAGATCAAACTGACCTTAAGTTATTACTTTTTATAAGGCCAGTTGCCTCGCCGGGAGGCCAGACACACCCACCTCTGCACTCAACACCTGACTCTGCACCTGGCACCAGGTTTTGCACTCGGCACCTAGCTCTGCAGCATGGCTCCGCTGGAAGGCTCCGGCTCCTGCAACCCTGGCCGGCTCTTGCACCGGAAAACCCGCCCAACAACCCGCCAACCAATAGCGGCCTGCCCGTCTCAATCCCACTCCCCTGGACTCAATCAGGGCGTCCTACTGTTGCTCATTCCTCCTAGCCATAAAAACCCGCCTGCCCCAGGAAATCAGTGCGACTTCTCTGGCCTCCTTTCCCCAGAGAACCTCGCCCGGGAGCTGAATAAATTGGCATTTAATTTTCTTATGCTGGCCTCAGTTTCCTCATTTTAAACTCAGCAATAACCCTTACACTTTTTTTTTTTTTTTTTTGGAGACAGAATCTCACTCTGTCACCCAGGCTGTAGTGCAATGGCATGGTCTTGGCTCACTGCAACCTCCGCCTCCTGAGTTCAAGTGATTCTCGAACCTCAGCCTCTGGAGTAGCTGAGACAACAGGCGTGTATCACCACACCCAGCTAATTTTTTTGTATTTTTAGTAGAGACAAGCTTTTGCTATCCTGGCCAGGCTAATCCCGAACTCCTGACCTCATGATCCACCCGCCTTGGCCTCCCAAAGTGCTGGGATTACAGGCGTGTGCCACTGTGCCTGCCCCCAAGTTATTATTTCTGATGCCTGTTTAGTTATACCTTGTGGAGATTTACATGTCCAAAGACAGCTTACTATTTCAGAAAAATGTCTCTGCCCTTTTAGACTTTGTCAGATTAGGAAGACATAATGAGTTCTTCTAAGGATACTAGCAATCCAAGAAATATTAGCTGTATTAATTGGTAGAAATCAAACTCTTGTCCCTCCAAAACAGAATCTCTATGTTCCACTTAGTCTAATGTCACATGAAACACTAAAGGTTTAAGACAGACCTTCCGCAGGTCTTCGTCAGTCCTTAAAACCATATATCCATTTCACCAAAGGAATTACTCCTCCTAACTTTCAGTACGACCAATGTAATCCTATACAGCTTACTATTGTTATTGCAACATCGGAAAATTCTTCCCCTTCATTAAATGATATTTATGGTATAGGAGCCATTTCAGGAAGGGATCCTAGAGAAATTTCTGAAATGCACTTTACTCTCCTTCAACCTCTTTATCAACCTATCGTCCAAGACACAATGACAGCACCAAAATCTCAGTGTTAGAAGTAGAGGACCTAAGGCAAACCATAGCCACTAACACAGGATATAAAGATGCAAATGCCTGATTAGAAAGGATTAAATATTCCATTTGCACCTTAAACAAGTGCAACTGTTATGCTTGTGTGCACGGTAGGCCAAAGGCCCAGGTTGTCCCTTTTCCACTTGGATAGTCCTCAAATCAAGCAGACATAGAACGCATGGTAGCTCTTTTTCAAGATTTCACTGCTTGGAATAACGAATTGTGCTGAGTTCTTTCTACCATTTCCTGAAGTTGAACACCCTGTGGGTCAGCACCAGAGGGCCATACAGCCTCCATCTTCCAAGGCAAAGTTCACCTTGTGTCTCTCATGACAGGGGGAGAACTTAGTGTTCCTTGGAAACTTAACAGGATGCAGTGAAGTCAGGCACTTCTGACAGCTGGCTCATGAGTCAGCTCTTACTCATCCCTGAGCGGATGCATGGTGGTATTGTGGAAGACCTTTACTGGACACTCTGCCAGATAATTGGAGCAGCACTTGCGCTCTAGTCCAACTGGCTATCCCTTTTGTCCTAGCATTTGATCAACCAGAAAAAGAGAAAATATGACATTGGAGATTAAAAGAAGCTCCTTATAGGTCCTTTAATTCCCATGTCTATCTAAATACAATTGGAGCTCCTTGAGGAGTACCAGATAAATTTAAAGCCTGAGATCAAACAGCTGTAAGATTTGAGCCAATGTTGTTTTGGTAGGTAATAATTAGTAAGAATTTATATTGAATAAACTACATTCATTACAACCAACAGCAGTTTACTCACTATACTAAAAATACTGTCAAAAGAATAGCTAAACAATTAAGATCCACTAGCCAAATGGCCTGGGAAAACAGAATAGCCCTAGATACGATATTAGCAGAGAAAGGTGGTGTTTATGTTATAATTAAAACCCAGTGTTGTACCTTTATTCCAAACAACACTGTTCCCAACGGGAGCATTACCAAAGCCCTCCAAGGACTTACTGCCTTATCAAATAAGTTAGCTAAAAATACTGGCATCAATAACCCTGTTTCAAATTGGCTCGAAAGGTGGTTTGGTCAATTAAAAAAGAATAATAATAACCCCAATTCTTACCTCTCTAGCAACTATGATAAATATACTTCTTCTCGTTAGATGTCATGTCATACCATGCATCCAAGAGGCTAGTAAACACAACTCTTATTAAAATGTCCCCAACCCCTCTTCCACCCTATTCAAATAAGATTACTTTTTTTTTCTTCTTTTGCCTCATTTGGTAGACAAAGGTATAGATTACTTCTTTAGAAGAACAAACAACAAAGACATGTTAAATAAATTTGAAGAGGAATTAAAAAATATAAAAAGGGAGGAATTGTAGGAAATAAGACTAAATAAAAGGTTCCTCTTCAAAGCTTTCCTCTTAGTTCATTTCGAATAAATAATGGTTTGTTCAAAGTTTAATTTACTTTAAAGCTTTTGCTAATAATCTTAAAGTAGCTGTCAGTCATAATAAAGAGATAAAGTATCCTGTGTTCTTAGTTCTTACGCTTTAACCTAGATATTTGCCCTGACATGCCTGGACAAGCCCAGGCAAGACTTTGGTCATAGTTTATTTCCCTTCCATATTTGGAAATGTTATTGCTTCTCTAAGCATTCCTCTTTTCCGTTGTTCTCCTCTGCCTTTACCTCTTTAGAAAAATTTTGTTAGCCAACGGGGTGAAGCCTAAACTGTGAAGTCCAGAACCAGCCAATAAAATCAGGACACAGCAGTAGGGCGGATGTGTTAGATATAAATGGCCCTGCCTCCTTTGTTAAGTGTCCCTTCCTGGCAAAATGGCAAACTGGAGCACCCTTTCTGCAGAAAGTAAAGTTGCCTTGCTGAAAATTAAATTTATATTCAAGTGTTACTTCTTTTATGGCAGTGAAAATTTACATATAACAGAGAGGTTGTAGTAAGCCGAGATCACGCCACTGCATTCCAGCCTGGGCAACAGAGTGAGACTTCGTCTCAAAAATAAATAAATAAATAAAGAATGGGAGTGCCCTTTCCACAATATGGCACCAAAAGATAAGGAGGAAGCTCCTGCCCCTCCTAACGCCCAGACCAAAGGGAAAGCTTTGAAGGATAAGCAAGCAGTATTGAAAGGTGTCCACAGCCACAAAAAAAAGACTTGCATATCACCACCTTCCCACAGCCCAAGCCACTGTGACTCTGGAGGCAGCCCAAATATCCTCGGAAGAGCGCCCCTAGGAGAAACAAGCTTCACCACTATGCTATCATCAAGTTTCCTCTGACCACTGAGTCAGCCATGAAGAAGACAGAAGACAACAACACACCTGTGATCATTGTGATGTTAAAGCAACAAGCACAAGATCAAACAGGCTGTGAAGAAGCTCTATGATAGTGATATGGCAAAGGTCAACGCCCTGATTACGCATGATGGAGGAAGAAGGTGAAAGTTTCACTGGCTCTTGATAACAATGCTTTAGATATTGCCAACAAAATTAGGACCATCTAAACTGATTCCAGCTGGCTAATTCTAAATATATGTATCTTTTCATCAGATACATGCCACTTCATCAACTTCTGGTTGGCCATTCACAGGTACCGGGGTTGTAATAGGGTCTGGGCAAGACTCCTGTTCTACTTATCCTTTTGGAACACTCACCCTGACACTCCACCATGCTCACTCACTCCAGAGATCTTTGTGACTAGAGTTGGTTGTCCTAGGAAAACCAGAACTTGTCTCCACGGTAGAGGTAAGAAAACAAGAAGTTGTCGGGTGCAGTGGCTCACACCCAGCATTCTGGGAGGACAGGAGTTTGAGACCAGCCTGGCCAACATGGTGAAACCCCATCTCTACTAAAAATACAAAAATTAGCTGGGTGTGGTAGCACACACCTGTAGTCGCAGCTACTCAGAAGGCTTAGGCAGGAGAATCACTTGAACATGGGAGGTGGAGGTTGCAGTGAGCTCAGATCATGCCACTGCAGTCCAGCCTGGGCAACAGAGGGAGATTCCTTCTCAAAAAAAAAAAAAAAAAAGAAAGAAAGAAAGAAAAGAAGAAGCTTTTCAAGAACTCCTTTTATCCTTGGAGGAGGCTGTGTCTGAAACCAATGCGCAGAGTTTGAAGGGCATTAGCATTCATTTCAAGGGAGTGTGGGTTGGCTGGCTTTCCAGCAGCACTTTGACCTCACACACACCCATTTACTATGTCCAACTGGTCTGTCTGCTTCCCTCAGCCTTTACCCAATAACGGACAAAAACTTTAATTAAAAAAAAAAAAGAGTAGGAGTGAGGGGAACAAAGGGCACCTTTTTTTTTTTTTTTTTTTTTTTTTTTAGAAAGTCTTGCTCTGTCCACCAGGCTGTAGTGTACCATCTCGGCTCACTGCAACATGCATCTTTGGTGTTCAAGTAATTCTCCTGCCTCAGCCTCCCTAGTAGCTGTGATTACACGTGTGCTCCACTATGCCTAGCTACTTTTTGTATTTTTACTTGAGACAGGATTTCGCCATGTTGGCCAGGCTGGTCTCGAACTCCTGATGTCAGGTGATCCTCCTGCCTTGGCCTCCCAAAGGGCTGTGATTATGGGAGTGAGTTACAGCACCCGGCCTTTTCTTTTTTTGAAATGAGGTCTTGCTCTGTTGCCCAGGCTGGAGTGTAGTGGTGTGATCAGAGTTCACTGAGACCTTGATCTCCCAGCCTTAATAGAGGAGCTGGGACCACAGGTGACACCAAAAGATAAGGAGGAAGCTCCTGTTCCTCCTAACGCCCAGGCCAAATGGCAACCCTGCCTGGCTAATTTTTTTAAAAAAAATTATTTGTAGAGATGAAGTCTCATTATGTTGCTCAGGCTGGTCTCCAACTCCTGGCCTCAAAGGATCCTTCTGCCTTGCCCTCTCATACTGCTGGGATTACTTCTTCGATGCTTAGTCAAGAACACTAGGAAGAACTTCTGAGAAGTAACTTCAGTTTACCCTTTGCGTTTTTATGTGTGCTTTTACTTTTTTTTCCTTCTGTTGTGCAGAGGTATTACTCACCTTGTGCAGTCTCAGCTCTCCACCCAGGCACAAGCAGCTCTTAATCACCTTTAAGTTCAGCAGCCACTGCAAGCTAGCCTGAGGAGATAAAGTCCACACTCAACATAGTTTTCTACATTCCTGCAATATCACACAGGTACATTCACTTTCAAAATGTAGAATAGTATGCTTTGCATTTTTCTGCCAGTCTTATCTGCATTTAGAACCTGTGGTGTTTTCTTTTCTGCCAAGATATCACCAGAGACGACCTATTTTTTTGTAACCCCTGGCACACCCCAGGAGGACTTTCATAGAGAAATCTTTTTGCCCAATTACACATGGTTGAATTTTACTTCGATCTGCCTTTACTTACTTCTTAAAACAACTAATTTCATCCTGCAGTTTAAAAAGCAAAACCGGTAAGAAACTCAGAATCACAATTTTATGCTCTTTTGTAGTTATTCTAGTGTTAAAAAACAATGCAAATTTAGATGAGAACCGTGTGTACCAGTGGGCTGTGATATCTTTTTAAAAGTAAATGAGTACACAGTACACAATACAGTGCTGCCATTAATATTCAATACCTACTGTGCACACTTCAAATTACAATTTAGTTTCTTCGATACCAGTCTTCTAGCGCCATAGGCGGTGAGTGTGCCAGTGCTTCTTGACTGTGATTGAGTTGGTTGAGAGTCCATCAATGGGTCTGCAGGATCCCATTTAGTTTTTGTAGCTGTGGCTGGTGTCCAGGAATGTGTTCATGCGATCTGAAAGTCAGCCTCTGACTTAGGACAAGTGGGGGAACCAACTTGGTCTTAGGAGTGCTCCCGCAGAGTGTTTGACTCCTGAGGCAGGCAGGGCAGACAAGACCCGAAGAAGGCAGCGTGACCCCAGACCCTTCCTTTACCAAGATGGCTTCGGCGCCCCGACCCACGGGGGCGGCCATCTTGGTAAGGGCTGGAGAGGTAGCCTGAGGGAGGCCGCCGCTGGCCCGGTTGTCAGATTCAAAGGTCACAATAAGTAAGTGACCCGGTGACGACTCGCCCCAAGAATGGCGAGGCGGCGAGCGCTGAAGCGCTGCCTGCAGCTGCTGGCGCCCTTGGCGGAACTGGCGCGACGGGTCCGGCGGGGGAACCCGGGCACCAGCCGCCGCGGCCCCTCCAGCTACGCTGGGGCGGTGTGCGGCGCGGAGCTGTGCCTGGGGCCTCAGCGGCCGGAAGCCGAGGAACAGCAGCGGCGACGGCGCGCGCGCCCGGCCACCCCCAACGCAAGGTGAGTCCGCGCCCCCGCGCTCTCACCCCGCCCCTCTACCGCGCGCCCGCGGACCGGGATCCCGAGTGTCCTAGAACTCTGCGGTGGCTGTGGGACCTCTCCGGAGGCAGTTTTCTCCCTACCGCTGTGCTCTGTGGCGTCTCCGCTGCTACCTCCAGGGTCTCTGGGCGGAGCAATCCGCACTTTCGAGCCTGGGGTGGTTTGGAATTCTTCGGCGATGTGGAGCGGGCTGTGAGTGGGTTTCCCGGTCCCCGAGCCCTTCCTCGTCCCCCGAGATGCCGCACTTGTGAGCGATAGAGCTTCATTTAAATTTTCTCACCTCGCGAATTGGGGAGCCTACATCTCTGAAGCTGCCTGAGTGAAGAGCCACAGCATTATTTTTTCTCTTTGGGAGAATAGCTGTCTGGGATTTGTTTGAGATCCCATCTTCCCTGCAAATTACCAGGTTGCATCTTCACTGATAGGAATACATGTGGGTGTATCTTCTTTTAGTTGTATGTAAATAAATGGGTCGACAGCTTCCTCCGAGCAACTTATTGTTGCTTCATCTATAGTATTTATCTTCTAAAAATCCATTCCAACAGGTTTCTTCCCTTTTATTTTGAATAAGTGTACTTATTTAACTATGGAATGGAAAGGAAGAGCAAAAAAAATGGGGCTAGGTAGGGGAGGGGTGGTGGAAGGCTATGATTTCTTAAGTTTTCTGTTCTGTGGTTGTTTGCTTCTTATAAATTGGATATTATTGCAGGCTTTTCAGAGCACGTATTCAGATAGGTTTTTGTTGTTGTAGTTAATTTTATTTTTTTCAGGCTAGAACTCTATATGGTCCTGGTAGTTGAGGTAAATACTCTTCCATGAGTTCTGGGATCTCATGCATTTATTATACTTCAGTTAAACCTGGAAAATATTAAGGGAGTGAGAAAAGTTAACAATCTTTTAAAAAGTCATTTCGTTCTTGTCTTTGCCTTTAATGTAGGTTGTTTTATATATATATATGTTATATGACTGACTCACCTGGTTGACTGTGGCTTAGCATGAAATGTTTGCTGCTTGATAATTCTGGATAATTAATTTGTCCGGTAAATCATTCCTGAGATGCAGTTTAGCAAACTGAAATAATTTCCATGTTTGTTAAAAAATGGAAATCTCTAACAGTTCCATTTCTATTTTCAGTTACGTTGGTTATGAATTAGCCGCAGACATGGACATCGTTTAGAAAAAGTTATGTAATCTTTAACAAGAAAAGATTACCTATATCCCACAATAGTGTGATTTTTGTTGCAAGAAAATACTAGGTCTGTTAAAGAAGAAATTTAGAGTAAAAGTACTTATTTAAAATACTTAAGAGAGAGATTGAGGGGTTAAAATTAAGTGAACTGAAAATATAGTCAGGATTTTCAGAGATTTTATTTTGTTAACATTCTGGAGGCTTTCCTGCTAGAAGAATTATGGTAGGTCTCCAAGAGATAAAAATACTTAGTGTGTTTCTCATATCCGTATTTTCACTCATAATTCCAAATTATACTGTAGAAATTCTATATTGCAAAATTCTAATTTTGAAATTAGTCCAGTTATAACTATATGAAGAACATTTTAGCATAAGCATTCCATCACAGGGTTTTGGTTATGCTTGAGTTGATACAGTCATCCTTGTGTTTGTTCGAGGGACATTATGTTACGTTGAGTATTTGTGAGTTTGGAAAACTGAGGGAATTTTTTTGAACATTTAGTCTGTGTTTGGAAAAGCAGCATTTGCCTTTAATTTTGTTGTTTCATTCTGCTTTTTCTTTGTAGTGATGGATAGCTGTGGATGTAGTGGGTTTTTCCATTGTTTTCTATGCTTTATAAATAAGAATATAGTGATAGCTGAAGGACTGTTGATCTGGGCTTTTTAGATTGAAATGCATACACATAAAAAGTGTTTTCATGGAAGTATTATTAGGGAAATTAACTGTGTATATAATTAATCATTAAAGAGTACTTTTATTCTGGAGGCCTGTGAGGCCATGCATAAAACTGGCATTAAAAAAAATCACCTATGTGATTTCCAGCATAAGGTTAAAGTAATATATCATTCTAACACTTATACTACTGAAGAATTCTGTCTATAATTTATAGTACTTTGCTTGACTTGTCTTTTGAATTTAATAACCATTTATTGTGTATTTAAGTATTTTTACCAACAGACTTTGGAGACAGGTAACATATGAACTCATATATCCCCAGGGGCAGTTTTATGTTAGAGATATAGTCTTCTGCCAGCTCAGCTGGTTAAATAATGTGTTACATCTTTATCATTTACCAAGCTCTTTCAAGTATTTTAAATATATGTACATACATATAGAGTTTGATTTTGTAGACAAAATATGTGAGATTATTAGCCCTGTTCCACAGATGAGAAAAATAGGACACTGAAAGCCTGGGAGAGTTTGGTGATTTGGCCAGGGTCCCTTAGCTCAGCAGCCCCAGCCTTCAGCAGAATGTATGCACTGCAGACTCTTATTACACTGGGATTCCAATGAATCGAAAGTGGAGGGGTGTGGATGAGCAAGCATTGGTCAGCAACACACTCATAGATTGCACCCCTGTCTCTAGGTAACAGGTTGTGAATGGTCAGTGCTGTTGGCTATGGAAGCACAGGTCTGGCATATAGATGGATCAGCATAATTCAAAATCTTGATTGAAAAGCATCTCAGTTTGAGCCTGCTACCTAGAGCAATCGTTTTTCCCCTTGAAGGCTTAGACTCTTGTATTTATCTAATTTGGGTATCTTCCCAGATTAAGGGACGGTAATATATTGATTGAACAATGAATGCCTGTAGACTTCTGTGTGCTTTTGTAATCTCTCTCAGTTGCAAGAATGAATAAAGAAACACCAAGCTTTCACATTTTTTTTTTTTTTGAGACAGAATTGCGCTCTGTCACCCAAGCTGGAGTGCAATGGGGCAATCTCAGCTCACTGCAACCTCTGCCTCCTGTGTTCAGGTGATTTTTGTGTCTCAGCCTCCCGAGTAGTTGGGATTACAGGCTTGCCACCATGCCCGGCTAAAACTGGTCACATCTTTTTTTTTTTTTTTTTTTTTTTTAATAAAGACGGGGTTTCACCATGTTGGTCAGGCTGGTCTTAAACTCCCGACCTCAGGTGATCCGCCCGCCTTGGCCTCCAAAGTGCTTGGATTACAAGCATGAGCCACCACGCCTGGCCAAAACTGGTCACATCTTAATAGGGCAGCTGGATGACAGCAGTCTTTGTTTTGAAAGTAGTTATTTTCTGTATTTTGAAGGTCTTTCAATTACAAAGATGTTTCCTGTTCAAGTTACTGTGTGTGTTCCTTTAGTTTGTTTAGAGAACTCATGAAAAGCTCTGTAAACTAAGCTGTCTATATAGTGTGAATGTGTGTGTGTGTGTGTGTGTGTGTGTGTGTGTGTGTGTGTGTGTGTTTTCCAGAATGTTGTGGTATTTTATGGGTAAAGTAACCAATGAAAGCATAAAGAGTTTCTGGACTCAAGTTCTTTTTTTTTTTTTTTTTTTAACTTGAACACAAACTAAGTAAAATACCCCACATAAAGTAAAATGTGTCATTTATCTTCCTGTGCTGATTGTATGCTCTTTTGATTCCAAGTGTTTCTAAGCATAATTAAGGCGACAGCATGGCTGATAGATAGTCCAGGTGCCATCATCAGCCAGAGCTAGATTCTTGGAATGTCATGTAACTCTCTGGCCTGACTTGCTTTACCTATTAGGTAAAAGGATCACACAAGTGATGACTTCTGTCATGGAATATTCAGGTTGGAAGGGATATTAGAGGGAATGTACCTGGTCCAATCTCTTTAACGTGAAGATTTTTCATTTCTGCCTTCACAGGAGTTTAGCCTGTCATGATTACCTCAAAACTGAAACATCAAAATTAGGCTTTTCACCATTTCACAGATATGAATTACTTTACAATTCTTGGCTGACAGTTGATTCCTTTCTCAATCTTTCCTTATATAGTGTCTCACTTTATATATAGACTAAATATCCGTTGTATATAATGTGCATGTGCTGTTTGAAGCCTGTTTTTTTTGCTGGGTGAATGCTAATACTGGTGCACATATTGAATATCATCAAAATGAAGAATTTGATCTAATAAACTTTTTGGGTATTCTTAGCAACGTTGTCTTAGTTAAGCCTGATTATGTAGAGCATTTTATATATATATATATATATATATATATATATTGGGAATGCCTGTCGGGTGTATTTGTTTAGCCCTCTGGATACCTTCACATCTTATTTTATAATCTTCACCTTCAATTTAGTTTAAACTGCCCATCCATTTATAAATTTTGTTGAAGATATGAGTATGCATTTATATGGTAACCTGAGGCATAGAATGATCCACCCTCCAGGTTTTCCCAGAACCAAGGGAGTTCCCAAGATGCAGTAATTGTTTTTTTTTTTTTTTAAAGACAGAATCTCGCCCTGTCACCCAGGCTGGAGTGCAGTGACAGGTTCTCAGCCCATTGCAACTTCCACCTCCCGGGTTCAACCAATTCTTGTGCTAGGCCTCCTGAATAGCTGGGACTACAGGCGTGCACTACCATGCCCGGCTAATTTTTGTATTTTTAGTAGAGACAGGGATTCACCATGTTGGCCAAGCTGGTCTCGAACTCCTGGCCTCCAATGATCTGCCCGCTTCAGCCTCCCAAAGTGCTGGGATTACAGACTTGAGCCACCACGTGTGGCCTAGATGCAGGACTTTAAATGTTAACACTGGGAAATCCTCAGGCAAACCAGGTGTGTTGGTCCTCCCACCTGACAGTGTCTCTTTATGGGACTTGATTAGCCATTCTCCCCAGCTTGAAAGATAAAATGCTAGGTGGTTTTATGCTGTATAAACTGACCTTTTGAAAGCAAAGGAAATGTCTTCAAGGTACCACGTATATTTTCTGTTTATGTGACTAAAATATAGAGCCAATTATTTCTTGGTGTTTCTGATCAATGTAACTGTAAATTAGAAAAATTGAGGAATAAGGCCAGGTGCAGTGGCTCATGCCTGTAGTCCCAGCACTTTGGGAGGCCGAGGCAGGTGGATTGCCTGAGGTTGAGAGTTCGAGACCAGCCTTGCCAGCATGGTGAAACCATGTCTCTACCAAAAATGCAAAAATTAGCTTGGTGTGGTGGCAGGTGCCTGTAATCCCAGCTACTAGGGAAGCTGAGGCAGGAGAATCTCTTGAACTTAGGAGGTGGAGGTTGCAGTGAGCAGAGATTGTGCCATTGTGCTCCAGCCTGGGCAATAGAGTGAGACTCTGTCTCAAAAAAAAAAAAGGAGAAGAAGAAAAATTGAGCAATTAAAGTTACAGCATTTGAAACCTTCTTCATGTAAAATTAAAGGGGCAATTATAGTTATAAGAAAACTAGTATTTATTGAGCATCTTCCAAGTACCTTTTACTTTGAAAAAGGAAAGAAAACTTTGTTGAAAGCCAAA